CACACACACACACACACACCTCCTACACATTGCTGAATTTGGATGGCCAGTACTTAATTTAAGATTTTTGCCTTCATGTTTGAGTAAGATTGGTCCTATAATTTTTTCATATTGTCTTGATCTGGTTGTTATCTTAAGTGTCTGCCATCATAAAGATGAGGTTGGGATGGTTTCTTTTCTGTTCTCTGAAAAAATTTGTGTAGTTAGAATCATTTCTTTCCTGAATGACTGACCATGTGTCTATAAGAATATCTAGGTCTAATGTTTAATTTGTGGGAAGATTTTAAACTACTAACAAGTCAGGTTTTCTATTTTTCTTGAGTCAGTTTTGGTAAACTTGTGATTTTTCCAGGAGTTTGTTCATTTTATTTATTGTCAAACTAATTGTCATAAAGTTGCTTACAATATCTTTTAGTGTCTGTGATATTTTTAATTTTTACCTTTTATAGTTCCAATAGTCTCCTTTTTTCTTATCAATCTTGCAGAAATTTATTAACTGAAAAATTATTTTTAAAAGAACCAACTTGTCCCCCCCCCATCTTGGAAGCATTTCCCCTAAGGTATGTGTCACATTGACATTCACAGCTACCAGCTGAGCATCTGGAAGACCACAGGTAGAACCTGAGTGTTCACTTGGCTGGTGGAATTGTCAATTCACCTCTCACTTCCTTTGCAGGATCCTCTGTGCCGAGTCAGCCAGCAACTTTCACTTTGATTGTCTAGACTTTGACTCCATGATGTTTGGTGCTGCCCCAGCCCGGCGCCTCTCCACAGCCTCCTCAGTTACCAAACCTCCACACTTCATCCTCACCACTGACTGGGTTTGGTACTGGACTGATGAGTTTGGTTCTTGGCATGAGTATGGAAGACAAGTAAGTGTCATGGAAAGAGTGTAGGTGTTTTCTCCTGAGGGCCCCCAATGGAGGACCCATTCCAGATATGAGTGCAGGGGTTGTTCCTGGGAGTCCCCAAATCCTTCTATGACTCACGTACTTTGGAAGAATTATGGCGAAACTAGGTAATTGGGAGTTCCTCTGCATGATTAGGTATCTGTTGGCCTTATGAGAACTGAATGTAAATTATGGGGAGATGACATTTTTTCATTGGTTTTGTTACATGGGGTAGAAAGATGCCTCCCTTAACTGTTGAGCAGGTAGCTCCAGAGCAAGTGCCTGTTTGTACAGGAGACTTTGTGTAGCTGAAGAATACACTTGAAGGCTTCTTGAAACTGGCTTCTGCCTTCTGTATTGCAGCAACTTCATAGAATGTGGGCAAGTGTAAGAATCGTACATTGATTTATTTCAGATACTGGTTTGGAATCTGAATCTCATAACTATTGCTATCAATTACTTGAAGATGTTCATGGCTAGATCATAATAAAGGGAGCTCTCTGGTCACCTGTAGAGGTACAAGTGTAGGGAGGTCACCATTTCTGTAGGAGCAGCTTTCTGAAATGAAAAATTGGGATTGGCGGTCTGATAGATATCTATACTCTTCTTTGGTGTATGAGGCTATATTAAAGCTTTAGTTTCTTATTCTGACCTGTACCTAGGATATCTTTTTCTCTGGGAACTCTGCAATGAGAGCCCCATGAGAGCAGGGAGTTTGATCTCTATTTTGCCACCCATGTGCCCTGTGTGGAGGGCTCTGCCTGTACCCTGCAGGTTCTCAGGACATCGATGTTGGCGGGCTGAAGCACAGAGTAATTGCTGCCTCATGCCCACTGCTGAGTTGGAAATCTTCGCTCTCAGCAGTGGCCTCGCTTTATCCCTCATACACTTCTTCATTTCTTGTAGTGTCAGCCTTTCCTCATTGGCTATTCTCTGCCCTCTTTCCCACCCATCTCCCCCACCTTCCTTGTCATGTAGATTTGTTCACGAAGCCTCCCCAGCATTGCTCTTGGTTTGGTCAGGAGCAGGAGGGGAGAGGCGGTGTCTGCTACAGAGGAGGGGGAAGGAATGAGGGGCTGGTTGTGTTCCGTGAATGGAGCTTCCCTGGTGACATCAGGGAGGAACTCATGGCAGATGAAAAGCACTTAGCAAATATGACAACCTCTCACGTTTTGTTTTGTGCTGTGTCCCCCTTCTTGGGGAGCCAAATGAGATGCCATGAGACCCTAGGGGCATCCCATGCAAAAGTAGGATTCCCTAGGTGAGTTTGCAAAGTAGGAAGTGGGGGCCATCCTCCTCCAAAGAACCCACACTCAGGGCTTTACCTTTCCCTTTTCTATGCTGCTCCTCATTTACACAGCATAGTGAGAGTGAATAACTTGACATAGAACAGTGAGAATCTCTGGGAATGGCCTGTATTTGGGTATCATTGATGTGCTGTATGATAGTGGGGTGCAGATGCACGTATGTGGACTGGGCATCTTTTGGTTGTGTGTTCTAATTTAGTATTATTGGCTGAATCCCCTCATGGGGTGGCCTGTCCATTCTAGTGCCTCCTTTCCTGCATACTTGTGGTGTCATCCCATATTTGGGTTTCTTCCTTAGTTTTCTGCTAGTTGCCAGTTTAGGACCATTTTCTTTTGATGCAAAAAAGCTAGGTTCTTTTCTGCCCAAGCTCAGGATGTACAGCCAAGTTTCCAGTCCAAATCACCTCCACCCTATATTAATTTCCTAAGACTGCCATAGCAAAGTACCACCAACTGGGTGGCTTGGAACAGCAGTGACTTACTGCCTCACACCTGGGTGCTGGAGATCAAAATCAAGGTGTCAGGGCCACATTCCCTTTAAAGTTTGTCGGGAATCAGACATGCCTCTTCTGGCTTCTCCTGGCTTCCCTGGCTTGTCAGTTCTTCAGTCTAGTCTCTGCTTCACCATCATGTGGCCGTTCTCTTACAAGGACATAGGTGACGTGGAGTAGGAGTAGGAGCCCACGCCACTCCAGTATGATCTCGTCTTGACATCTGCAGTGATCCTGTTTCCAAATAAGGTCAAGTGTTGAGGTACTAGAGTTAAGACCTCAACATATCTTTTGCGGCAAAGGAGGTGGCACAGTTCAGTCCATAACCTACTCTTATATATAAAGGTATTACTGTCCAAGTCCACTGAATTTTCCCACGTTAAACTTGATGTCCCTGAGGTGTTGGGCTCCAGGATGCCTTACCCTGACCTGTATCCTTTTGGGATCATTTTCAACAGGCTTCTCATGTTGATAGACATTTTGAGTTGCACCCTTTCCTGTGATCTTCTTTGCCTTGTTCTAAAATCTCTGCAGCTGCCCTTCTCTTGGGCCCTAACAACCCATTCATCTCTACCTGGAAACAAAGACGCCTGTTCATTCCGCCATTTGCCAGGATCTGACTTGTGTTCCTGTTACTTGTTCATCTGGTCACTTTTCATGGAGTGCTGGCAGGACACGGGACCTTGCCAGACACAGCCCTTACTGGACCATAGACGCCGGCAAAGGGCCACAGGCCCAGGTGCCAGATCTTGTGGCATTTCCAGCCTTTGCCCACTCCTTCCTCATCCTCCTGACTGCCTCGCCCCCTCCTTGGTCTCCTTCATGGGCTGCTGCTTTCCACACTCCTTCATGAATGTTGGCGTGTCCCGGAGTCTGGCCCACACCTCCATTCTTCTGACGTTAGTGGCCACCTGAAGTAATCTCTCCACATCTATCTCAGACCAGATTCCTCTTTGAATTTGAGACTGATGTATCTAGATTGCCTCCTGATGTTTCTGTGGCACGTTTGCTTTTTGTTTGGCACTGTGCTAAGTGCTCTGCAGGCCTTATTTTAATTATTTTCCCAGTCCTTGAAGGATGGGATGGCACTCTTGAATCATGATAGGAGTAGGGTTTAAGTTCTCCTCCTGTTCCTCTTCTGTTGAGATAGTGGAGGTTCAGAGAGGTTAAAATAACAGTATAGAGGAGCCAGAATTCAAACTCAGACAATCCCCAAATTTTAGGTAGCTTGGAGGTAATTGGAGAGAAGTTGTGGGATCACAATGGATAATTCAGAGCAGAAGAGCTTTTCTCTAAGGGCCTGGAAAATGAAACCGGAGGACTGAGCTCTGACTGCAGGGTGGTAGCTGCAAGAACAGGCAGAGAAGAGGGGCGCCTGGGTGGCTCAGTCGGTTAAGCGTCTGACTTCAGCTCAGGTCATGATCTTACTATTGGTGAGTTCGAGTCCCGCACTGGGCTCTGTGCTGGCAGCTCAGAGCCTGGAACCTTCTTCAGATTCTTTGTCTCCCTCTCTCTTTGCCCCTCCCAAACTCATTCTCCCTCCCTCTCTCTCTCTCTCTCTCTCTCTCAAAAATAAATAAACATTAAAAAATTAAATAAAAAAAAAAAAAAAAACAATGGGCAGAGAAGAGGCAGCCATGCTCCGGCCATCTCTTCATGTGGCTTGGAGAATTCAGCATTAGTGTTGACCTTCCTTTGAATGGTGGTGTCCTCCATTAGGAGTGCGTGCTGTCTCTTCTGTTGCTGCCGTCCTGTTATCCTGGTTTGGTTGGCCAGGTCTGCATTTACTGCCTGCATTGTTCTGGGCAGCTTTTGGAGGCATTCTTGCTGGCTTCTATTCTGTGCCTCCCCCCCCCCCCCCCCCCCCCACACCCCTGCTTCCTGGCTTCTCTCTCCTGGCTGCCCTGTCTTCCCTGTGACATGAATATGCATGTGTCTGCAGTGTGGCATGGATAGCACCCAGTAGCTCTCCTCATCATCGTAGGTTCTTGCCTTCACCACATATCTGGCTTTCTCCTCGTAGGGCATGGAGCACCCTGTGACTACTGTCTGCAGCAGCGATTTGGAGAAGGCCTACCTGGCCTACTGTGCACCTGGGTCTGATGCCCAGGCAGCCATTCTGAAGTTCCAGGCTGGAAAGCACAAATACGAGTTGGATTTCAAAGGTACTTCTTGACCCACTGCTGTCACCCAGCAGGGCTTGGCCATCTTTTGGCTCTGACTTCTCCACCTTCACCTTGGAAGAGGCCCATGTGCACACTGAGGGCCCGGAAAGAAAAGGAAAGGGTGGTAAGGGTGGTCTCTGCTCCTGAAGTGCTGTCCATCCGGAAGGGGTGAAGGGTATGTAAACAATTGATGCCAGCCTAATGGGATGGAAGAGAAGCCGCCTAGGGAGGGGGTGGTGAGGGGGGAGGACCCTGAGATGAGGACAGGGGCCAGAAGTGTGGAGGGATGGGGGTGGTCTGCATGCGTGCCATGGGGGTGGTCCTGTAGACCATGGATGAGTCCCTCTGGTCGAAGGGTTAACCTTAGTCCCTGACTCCTGTCATAGCAGTTCTGCTGTGTCCTTCCCGGTATGACTACTCCATGTCGTTGTCTCCGTAGGGACCTGGGGCTTAGGCTGGCTGCAGATTAAACACGTGCTAGATGCACACTTTTATTAAAAGTTGTTGGGAAGCAGATTATCCTGTGTTCCAGGTGTTCTGATGGTGGGCTTTAAGTGATTTGTCCTGGTTGCCTTTGCAAACAGACAGAAACAGGACAAATACTCTTTGGCTAGTTCATCTAAATGACTGACTGATTTTGGAGGATTCCTTTGTTTAAATTTTAGTTGTTTTCTGTAGCTTCTCTTAAGACGTTTTCTCTTGGATTTTTATCACTCCAGCTCTGTTTGACTCAGTTTTGCCTTACTCACATTTGTTTTTTCTAAATGTTCGTTTATTTTTGAGAGGGAGAGGAAGAGTGTGAGCTGGGGGGAGACAGAGAGAGAGAGAGGACAGAGGATCAGAGGCAGGCACCGCACTGTCAGTAGAGAGCCTGACGTGGGGCTCAAACCCATCATCCTCGAGATCATGACCTGAGCCAAAGTCAGATGCTTAACGGGCTGAGCTGCCCTGGCGCCCCTTGTGGTACTCACATTTTAAACTCCTGAATCCTGCTGAATGTTCAGCCCTTTTAAGGGAAATAACTGGGCCTTTATTTAAATATGGTTTACTTTTTTCTCTCTTTTTATGGACCTTCTGTGTAGAGAGCAGCAAAATGTATTTGGTGAATTATCCTCAAATTACTTGACCTGCCTGCTGTTAGCCAGTTGTTTTGTTTGTGGTTCTGTGGCACTTATCCTCTTGCTTAAGGTAGAATTGCTGCCTCCTCAATGTGCACTTACAGAGAACTTAAAAGTTTTTTCTCTGCGATGAGAACTGCTTACCAGCCTTCAGTCTCCGCTGGAGAACTCCAGCCGTACATCATCAGGTGGTTTGCAGTCCACAGTCTGATAGGTACAAATAACAGTAAAGGGGACAGTGAACTCAATGGAGATTAGGTCTGTATGGCTAGCACCCGTTTGACTGCTGCTGGCAACTGTTTGAAATACTGCTTTTAAGTACCTGGAAGATATCAAAACCAGAAATGTCAGATGCAACCTGGATCATCCTCAACCTGGGCTGCAGCCCCGGTAGACATAACAGAAAATCAGGCTAAGGGTGGGAAAGAGCACAGGCATGCAGTTCTCTGCAGACTGCAGGAAGAAGTGAGTTCACCCCAGACTGACCCAGGCTCACGTGGGTAAGGACAGTTCTTTTTGTTGATGTGGAGAACAGCAGCCACAGAAGTAGTTTGAGGTGACTTAGCTTCCTGTCTCAGTGCCTCACTGAGAGGTGTAGTGCAAGCAAGTCTCAGACCCAAATCTGCCAGGCACATTGATGAACTAAATATTATTAGGTACATTTAACTGTAACATTTAAATGTACTTAAACAAGTACATTTAAGAAACAATAGGTCAGATGATTTGTACTGTAGAACTGGAAAAGGAGGAGGAAGCCTCAGGGAGGTGGGAGGGAAAGGGGAAGAACAGTCAATATTATCATTTTAGGGACTCTTGTTAAAAGTACTGCTCAAAGCCACTGCCAGGGGCAAGATTCCAGAGGCAGAATTCTGACATCTCTTAGCTGGCAACTGATGGGTAAAATCCCTAAGATCAGGCTTGTGTTAGGACTTAGCCTAGTGTGTCCCTGGTAAAGGTAAATTAGAGAAAAGGCCTCACTTTTCCGGTCCGCAGGAGGGTCGGGAATGGGTCTGACATATATTTAGCCAGTCTGCATGTCTTGAATAATTTCACCAGTGAAAGCCCATTTGAGATTCATCATGATGTCAGTCAACAGGCCAATAAAAACCCATGTAAGGGTGCTAATTATTGATGGGAGTTGAGTGATGGACAACAATAGGGGTCGTGGTAGCCATGTCTGGATTATGGGCTCTTGATTAGAATGTGGGGGACCCCCCAGGAGTGCCTGCTCCTGATGACCACCTGGACTACATCATGAGGGATACACATCTAGGTGATCACCCAGCACAGGTTCAAATGCAGTGATGTTAAGTTATACACACCTAAAAAATTAACATTAAAATGTTTTTTAAATGAAAAGAATTGTTTTTGTACTCCAAGTACAGGAAGTAAGACTTGACAGGGTTTTCCTGGTGGGTAAGGACATGTAATCTAACTCCTAGGCATTTGTGATTTTTCAGCTTGAGGGTCCATGTCCCCCTAACTCTAAGGATTACCCTGAGGGTGTTGGGGTGGGCATGGGGCAAGAATTTTGTTTATTAAAGATGGTACAAGTTTAAGAGGTTGAGAAATACTGCTATGAAATCAGTTTAGTCAAGTTAAGAAAAAAAGTCATAAGAGTAAAATTATTATATTAATTCTAAATCCCACTGGCTCAAGAGGTAGTAATTTGGTTTCAGGCTGGGCTGAAGCTTTTTTTATATCCAAGCTGGGAAAAATTGCTAAGCAAAATAACAGTTTAAACAAGATTGGAAGGAACAATTTAAAAGTACTCATGTATAATTGATATGTCAATTACTCATCATTCATGTGTTCATTAAACTCAGTCTCCTAAGGATACCTATTTTCTTTATGGATATTTTAAGTGTGAAAATTGCCTTATTTTTTAGCAGACCGATTATATGTTTTACACATTTGGATTAGTTTTCCAGCCCATTTAGTTTGTGTTTATAAAACCTTGCTGTCCTGTGTGTGTATATACATTTTTTTTTTCTTTCAGCCTTTGTTCAGAAAAACCTGGTGTATGGCACAGTCAGAAGGGTTTGCCGGAGACCCAAATATGTGTCTCCTCAGGAGGTGAAGGTGAAGCAAACCTGGTAGGTGGCATGTGTGTCAGTTGGGGTGTGCTGTGCTTTGTGCACAGAAAACCTAGTCAGACTGGCCCGCACAGTAAGGGGGTTGTTGGCTTCTATAACTGAAAGCCCTCACACTCTGTCTCTGCCCAGCTCTCCTCTACATATCTCTGCCCAATTCTTCTTCATGTACTCTGTACTTGCCTTCATGTGATATCAAAATGCTGGTGTTAATATCAGTGTTCCATAAAACTTGGTCTGAGAATTCATGAACCTGAAAAATCAGGGTATACACCTAGCACATTTCGGGTGGAGAAGTATTTGTGTGTATTATAAGAGTATAAAATATAACCCAGGTTTATAGAGGTAAATGTTTTTATTTATACTAATTGTGCATATTAATTAATTTTTATTTATTTTTAATGTTTCTGAGAGAGAGAGCGTGAGCAGGCAAGGGTTAGAGAGAGAGGGAAACACAGAATTTGAAGCAGGCTCTAGGCTCGGAGCTGTCAGCACAGAGCCTGATGTGGGGCTCAAACTCACAAACTGAAATCATGACTTGAGCTGAAGTCAATGCTTAACCAACTGAATCATCCAAGGACCCCCAGATTAATTAATTTTTAATAAAGCATTAAAGTGACAAAGCAAACGCAATGTAAAATAGGGGGGAAAAAAACCTCAAGACACCGGGGAAGAAATCACATAATTAGATATTTTAACTGTAAGTGTGCCAGTCATGTTACTGAGTCATAAAGGTACTCTTGTGCAGATTTTTCCAGGAACCAAAAAAGTTCTCCCTGACTTTAGACTGATTTGAGAGAATAGTTAGGAAATAGTAATAATGTCACTCATAATATTTTCTCTATGTTTCTGTCTTCACGTAATTGTATCTTTTGTTATAATTTGGAAGGGATCTTTTCAATAGCTCTTTTGGTTTTTTGTCTTTAGACTGAGTTTTTTGTTGGTAGTGAGCTATGGTTTTTGCTTTTAATAAAAGCATGTTGCTTTTTATTCTTCATTTGCATCATGTATGAATGGCAGTTCTAATGCCACGTCACCTACCTGTAGCAGTTTGACTACTGTCTTCCATATTCCACTTGTTGGGAAATGCTTTGAACCAGAGAATTATCTTTGTAGGTAGAAGATTGGCGATACACAATTACAAGGCTGTGTGTTGTGATCTGCAGGCCAGTCTAGATTCGAAGCTGGCTCATCAGTTTTTATTTTCACTTGACTAGTTGAATCCTAGACTTGAGTGTTTTAAAAAGTTAAAATAATAGAAAACTAATGGAATTAATACCAATAAAAATACATGTATTTCAGGACTTGAATCTCTTCGGATACCAAAAAACCAAAAATGGATACTGCAGGCACTAACAGGCCAGCTTCGTCCTCAGGGTGGGTTCCCTTACAGCTGCCAGAAGCCATGAGGGTAGTGCCCTGCTGTATAAGCATTTCAGCAGGAGAAGGCCTTCCTGCAGCTGATGGCTGTATACTTACCAGCTTTGCTCTGATCCAGCACCCTCTGCACCACTAGTTTTAGGCTTGGTGCAGATGTGCTGGGATTGGAGCTGGGGAAAGGGTCCTTTCTCTCCGATCCACATGGCCACATAATGGGGACAAGGGGCCTGGCTGGCAAGTGATACTACAGTACCAGTCTGAGCTGGTCCTGTAGCCAGTGTTAGCCGTTTCATGGAGAACCGGTGGTTTCTCTGTTGGCTCTTCTAGGGTGTCACAGATGGACCTTAGGGGTTCTATTTGTGGAGCTCAGTCATTTCAAGAAGAGTTTGATACAGGCTAGAGGGAAAAGGTATTAGTAACTCAAGCAAAAGGTATACTCACTCAGTGGTCTGTATCCTCCCTGCCGCTATCACCAGAGTTTACACAATGAGTACTTGTTTGTGTAAGTCTCTGGTTTATCTTTATTATGTTTCTTTTTGCAAAAATAAACAAATACTTATACATAAAAGTATTTTCTTATTTCCCCTTTGTTGGGGCGCCTGGGTGGCTCAGTTGGTTAAACGTCCGACTTCGGCTCAGGTCATGATCTCACGGTTCGTGGGTTTGAGCCCCGCTTTGGGCTCTGTGCTGACAGCTAGCTCATAGCCTGAAGCCTGTCTTCAGATTCTGTGTCTCCTTCTTTCTCTGACCCTTCCCTGCTCATGCTGTCTCTATCTTTCTCTCAAAAATAAATAAATCATTAAAAATTTTTTTTAATTTCCCCTTTCTTGCACTAAAGGTAACATTTTAAATGTACTGTTTTGTACCTTTTTCTTTGCCACTTAAAAACAATTTTTCCTTTTCAGTATGTTGAAGTCTTCTGAACTCTGTTTTTGTCTTCATGGCTCTCCATCACCTGTACATACCCTAGTTTATTTAATCTGCCCTTTTAGAGGTATATTTTGCATTCTTAGATTTTTTACTGTCACGAGTGTAATGCCACAATGGATGGTGTGGTGTACGTGCTGTTTCGTATTCATGGAGGTTAAAGCCCTAGAAGGTAAATGCAGGTTCCTCTTGATGGGGTTGAACCTTTATGCACTTGCCCCAGGATCCTTGATGTGCCTGTTTCCCTCAGCTTTGCCAACAGGTAAGTCATCAAGCTCTTGGACTTTTGCTGTTCTTGTGCATGGCAAAGGGTATACCAGTGTATTTTAATTTGCTTTCTCTTATGAGTGAGGTTTAATATTTTTTCCTAACTCGTAATAGCCATTTGCCTTTTTCTCTGGACAGCTTGTCTTTTTGTCCAATTTTCTGTCAGACTTTTGGTATTTTTCATAAATATTAAGAGCGTTTTCTCTTTTGAGGAGATCACTGTTTTTTTTTTTTTAATTTTTAATGTTTATTTATATTAGAGGAAGAGAGAGGGAATGAGTGGGAGCTGAGAGAAAGGCAGAGATACAGGGACAGAATCCGAATTAGGCTCCAGGCTCCAAGCTTCGAGCTGTCAGCACAGAGCTCGATGTGAGGCTTGAACTCACAAGCAGTGAGATATGATCTGAGCCAAAGTCAGATGCCCAACCGAGTGGGCCACCCAGGCTCACCATCACTCAGTTTCTTATACAAATTGCAAACCTTTTCTCTTGGTTTGTTATTTGCTAGCTTTGTTTATGAAGTATTTTACCGTGCAGAAATGTTTATTTTTTATCTTTTAGTGAAATGTTTTTGTCTCTTCTATGTATTGCTTCTGGATTTAGAGTTTAGTTAACTGTGGCTGCTTCTACTTCAAAAAGTTATATTTGATTCTTTCCCTATCCAGAGCCTACCTTAGATACAGTTTGGAAAAAATCTGTCTCCTTTCTGAAAATGGATGTCTTTTATTGTCACTGTAATGTTGTTTTCACGGGGCCACAGACACCACACATCAGAAATAACAGTGATCATTTTGGTTAAATTCAGACTAGGATATGACTGAGGATATCAGTCTGAGGATCTCTCTCTGCTGCATAACCTGAGAGTCACACAGTGTCCTTGCAGTGAAGTTTGTGGCTTTTCTTGCTAACCCATGTGACAGTAGCCACCTGTTGTAACTCTAGCAGGCGAGTCTGCTTGGACCTCCGTGGCCGACTGGGACTCTTAGAGTAGGTCACTTTCAGAAACAACTTCTCGGGGCACCTGGGTGGCTCAGTCAGTTAAGTGTCTTGACTCTTGATTTCAGCTCAAGTCATGATTTCACAGTTCATGAGTTTGAGCTTTGCACTGGGTGCTGTGCTCATAGCATAGAGCCTGCGTGGGATTCTCTCTTTGTGTCTTTCTTTGCTCCTCCCCCTCTTGCTCATAACATGCATGCGCGCGCGCGCACACACACACACACACACACTCTCTCTCTCTCAATATAAATAAATAAAAAGAGAAACAACTTCTCTATTTACATGAATGACAGGGTCACAGAATGTGATCTCCACATTCCAGAGTTCTAAAGAATTTAAAGTAAAGTTTGAAATGGCATTTACACAACAGCTATCTGGTTTAGTTTCTTACTGTCCTTATATCTTCCATAAAAATGTTTTATTCATGTGATTGGGTCTTATTTTTTCTTTTTTATGCCTCCTTGTAGATATTTTTTGACATCTGATCTTTTTTTCCCCTTCTAGTTTGGAAGAGTTATACACTGTATTACTATTTTTTTTTTTGGCCACCTTAGAAATTAAAAGTGTTCTTAGGTCAAGTCAGTATCTTTGTGCTTCTGTCAACTAATATGAGGACTTTCATATACCTGATTCCATTATCTTCCTCTGCTTTTTAACTTCATGAGATACTGTTATTTTATACTATGAATGTTTTGTTAGATTCACTCACATTTTACCGCTTTGTCATTTCAGATTATCTTAGATGAATCTGTTGGAAAACTCTGTGTTTTTGATTGCCTGAGTGCATCTTTATTTTGTCCTAAATCTTCAAAGATAGTTTCACTGGCTATAGAATTTTGGGGTGTGGCTATTTTCTCCTGGAACGCCGAAGAGCTCACTCCACTGTCCTCGAGTTTCCATTGCTGCTTTTGCGAAATCAGGTGTAAGTCTAACTGGAGCTTCTTTCCCAGAATCCCTCTGGTTATTGTCTGGCTGCTTTGCAGATTTTCGTTGGTCTTGCTCTCGTGCATGCTTGCCTCGATGTGGCTGGGCATGTGCTTTTATTTATCCTGTTGGAGATTCTTGGGGCTTCTTAGACCTATGTGTCCGTGAGTCTCCTTTGTTCTCTTTAAGATTGCCTCCATCCTTTCCTGTCTTCCTCTCTTTTTGGAGGTTAGCTTCTGACCAGAATCTGACACCCCCCCTTCTCTGTCTCAGCCTCTTCCCCACATTTTTATCTCATTGTGGGGCCACATTCTGAATTACCACTTAGCATCTCATTCAGCTCACACACTCTTCCCTCCTCAGGTGGTCTGCCCTGCTCTTAAGCCTGTTTTTCACTTTTAGTGAGGAGTGTATCTTTCATTTCTAGAAGTTTCTCCTAATTCTTTTTCAAATCTTTTTATAGTTTAGCTCCCTGCATATATTTTTAAAGTTGGTCTTTTATTTCTTTAAACATAGAAAGAATAATTGTTTTATAATCTGCCTCATAATTTCAGCATCTTTGGTCTTGATGGTCTGTTTCTGGCTGATTCTTGCTCATGGGACCTTGGTTAGTTATTTTTAAACTGCTATTTTCCTAGGAAAGTTATTTGTGGAAATTCTTTGAGGCTTGGGACGAAGGTACATGTCTTATGCCAGTGGAAACAGAAGGTATATCTTTTGTAGGAAGAACAGACCATTCTGAATGGAGTCAGAAAAATTTGGAATTACAGCTTCACAGTCTGTTTCTAGACCCTTTGTGTCACGTGTCTTAGTTTAAAAAAAATTGGGGGAGGTCATGTGTCTTTTAGAACTCCATCTTTTTAAAAAATTTTTCTGGAAGATCATATGGTGCTCGTGTTATGTGAAACCTGTAATTAAACATCCTAGTGTTGCAGCGGTAAAAATTAAGTGTAGTTGGGGCACCTGGGTGGCTTAGTTAAGTGTCTGACCCTTGATATCTGCTCAGATCATGATCTCATGGTTTGTGGGACCAAGCCCCGCGTCGGGCTCTGCACTGACAGCATGGAGCCTGCTTGGGGTTTTCTCTCTCCCTCTCTCTGCCCCTTCCCGACTTGTGCGTGTGCTTTCTCTCTCTAGCTCTCAAGAAAACATAAAAAAAAAAAAAGTCAATTTAAGGAGGGTATATACAGACCACAAGTAGTCTCTTAGCAGTTCCAATCAGATTTCTACTGCCAAATGAGTTTTGACATAAATTTTATGTTTTTAAAAAATGTTTTTGTATGCCAATTACACATAATTGAGGCTGCTTGAAAAAGGTTTTGGAGCTCTTTAAATTTTAAAATTATGGATGAGAGTTTATGCTGCTCTAGTCAGTTATTCTCTGCCTTGCATATAAGAGTTAGGATCCAGGTGAGAAATGGAACCCTTGTGCCTAATCATTTGGGTTTTGGCCACATGAGCAAAATAGACGTGCTCCCACATGGTGGATAGTGTGTTTAGTGCTTCCTCACCTTCTACCTGCTTTCACAAAATGATACTCTGAGATCCAAGACCAGTGGTACCAGCGAGTGGGGGCTGCCTATGGTAGATCTACTTGAGTCTAAGAATAAGATGTCTGTGTTTTTGTTGTCCTTTTGTAGCAGTGTCAAGTTTCAAGGCCCAAAGAGCATCCCAGACCATTGGGACCCCTCAGCCCTGCCAGACCCTGGCTTCAAGGTATGGGACTTGTGCTGCTCTGGTCCTTGGAGGAGGGCGTTCTTAGACATAGTGTGTGAACGGATTCCACTGCTGAGGAAGGTGTAGGCCTGGCCGGAGGAGATGGGAAGAGCTGTGAGGGGTTTTGTTATTTTCATGTCTTGGGGATTTTAAGGCTAGATCACCACCAAGTAGATGGTTGTGGCCCCAAGGGGAGAGGATGTATTATGGATGGAGCATGATGACCTGGAAATTTCTGGAAAGGGCAGAAATAAGGGGCTTAACAGCTGCTCAGCCAATGTGTATTAGTTTTACAAAGCAAGAAATCAAAACCAGGGGTGGATTTGAGTATGTTAAGGGATGTGTAGAGGGGCAGTTGCTGTTGAAAGGTGCTAGGTACTTGAAGACAAAGACCAGCGACTCACATGGCTCATGTAGGGCCTGCCAGCCCAGCTAACAAGAGCTACATTGAGGCCTGTGGGGTACTCAACCACTGTCCGCCTTGCCTTGTGTCCTTGGGGCCCTCAGACTGCCCTCTGCGGGTAGCCTCCTGCAGAAAACTGCAGACCAGCTCTGCCTTGAGATGACTCCTCAAGTTGCACAGAGCACACAGACCCCAGCAGCACAGACACACATGTAAAGGGCTGGGCGGGTTTGCACAGCCGGACTCAGCACTGTGGGATAAGGTGATCGTACTGAGGGGAACAGGGAAGGTGTTAGTGGGTCCACACCTAAATCATGGCTGGTGCTTGTACAGGCAGAGGTAGGAGCGGAGCACACAGGTGGATGGAAGCTGTGTAGGGAGAGAGCCTGGGTCAGGATACAGAGCATGTGTAGACACTGGGAAGCAGTGACGTCAGGACCATGCTGTGGAGTGCTTGGTTGTAGGGCCAAGCTGCAGGCAGTGACAGGTATGGGAGCCCTTGACAATCTGGTCTGGGAGGGGCAGGCTGGGTCCATACTCAAGGGAGAGGAGTTTGGTGTCCTTCCTGGGATGGGACCAGGGAAACCAGAGTCAGAATTCCAGTTGCAGAAGCTCATGGACATTCAGACAGCACTCAGGTTAAGGGGAAGGGCATGGTACAGAGGGATTCCTCACAGGTCCCCAAACAGGCTGTCACTGAGCCAAGCCCTGTGGAGCCGAGAACAGGGTGGCTGGTTAGGTGCAGGCTGCAGGTGCAAGAATCTGTGTATGGTCGCTGTGTAAATGTCAGCTGCCCTTGGTTAGGAGCCCTCCTGGCCCATAGGCAGTGCTATTTCTCAGAGCAAGGGAGAGGCACGCTCAGCTGGGAGCACGCAGCAGCCAGGCACCACCCTGCAAGCCTCCCTGCGCTTCTGAGTTGCTATGCGCCTGTCTGCCAGCCCAAGTGCTCCTGATGCATTGCTGCCCGGAAGCCCGAGCCTGCTTTAACAACAGGGTTACCCTCCTCTCCCCCAGACGTGTGTGCCACACATTTACTGACACCAATTCTGGTCTTGGAGACGATGTAGTCTGCCCTGTGTGGGTACAGAGGAGGAGCAGGGATGTTCTGGGGACACCCAGGGTGGTGCTGATGTAAGCATCACCTGCCTGTCTTTCAGGAGGGTTTCACAGTGGACAGAAGGGAAGTGACCACAACTTGCACACATCCCATGCCTGGAGAGAGTACACCTCTGAGCAACGGGGGGAGGGTGGTGATCACTGTCTGGGCTTGCTTGCAGTTCGGTGTTTTTTGAGCAGCCTTGGGAAGGGATTGATATATCCTCTGCTTTGATGATAACAGAAAAAATATTTGCTCCCTGCAGAAGATCGTCCTCAGTTCTGCATCAGATGAATATCAAAAGGTCTGGAACCTCTTTAACCGTACACTGCCTTTCTACTTTGTTCAGAAGATCGAGCGAGTCCAAAATCTGGCCCTCTGGGAAGTCTACCAGTGGTGCGTTGGGGCCTCACTCTTGGTGGGCTGGTGACTGTCCCCTCCGATACATACACAGTCGGCTGGCTAGCTGCTTGCCAAACGTGTCCTGGGTTTCAGGGACAATCTGAGATGGCAGCCACTGCTTGCCTGGTGGTGATGGCATCCAGAGCTGTGTCCCTGCTTTCCTCCCCATCTCACCATCTTTATAACTCCTTGCGGGCACATCCCTCGGAGGGGGACTGAAGCTGCCCTAATGACAAAGCCGGTACTTGCCTCCCTGCCTGAAGATGAGTGGGACTGGTCAATGGAAGCCACCCACACTTTCAGGAGTAGAGAGATCCTGTCCTGATAGCCACAGAGCGGGGGCCTTACCTTTGTGCCTGAGGACTAGCATGTTCTTGGGCACCAAGGGATTTGTCCGTGTCGGGAGGAGATCTGCAGTAGGTCACCGTGGCGGGCCTGGGATCCTGCTGACCTGTCCCCAGAAAGGGGGTCGGAGCAGTGTCATCTGTACTCTGGGCCCAGTGATGAAATCAGGGTAACACACAGGAGAGGGGGAAAGGGGTGGTCCCCGCTGACCAGCATCCTTCAGCTCCCCCAGAGTTCCATTGCAGAAGCAAGGTGCCGAGGAAGAAGTATGTCTGCTTTCCAAGGGCTGGTCTGCTTGGGAATTTGCTGTTCACCCTCTTTCCCTGGTCCATGGTCGGTTTCATGGGCTTGGACTCCTGCTACTTCTAATAAATGTGTTGGGTCAAGTGGCCTGTATTTGGCAACAAGCACCCTCTGCCTCCAACATTCCTCTCACATGATTCTAGGCAAAAAGGGCAGATGCAGAAGAGAAACGGAGGGAAGGTGGTAGATGAGAGGCAGCTGTTCCATGGCACCAGTGCTGGTTTTGTTGATGCCATCTGCCAGCAGAACTTTGACTGGAGGGTCTGTGGTCTTCACGGTACTTCTTATGGCAAAGGTAAGGGCGAAGGTGGCCCTGCTGGCAGAACCCAGCTTTACCCCCCTGGGCCTAGGAGGCCACTTTAAAGCAAATTGATGGAGGGCATTGGGGAGCCAGTGTGAGTTGATGAGCTGGGTCAAAATCAGTGGGGCATGGACCCACTCTTGGCACCTTTGATATCTGTGTGCAGCCAGGAGCCTGACCCTAGGTTTAGCAGCTTGGGTTTTGTGTCCCTATGGAATGGAGGCTCTGGAAACAGTGAGCAAGAGTGGGGCAAAGAGAGCAGGTGCCCTCCCAGCCCTGTGTCCGGCCCCAGACTGTGCCCACCTGACCGTTAAGAGTGGGAATCGGAACAGCTCAGATATGCTTGTGTACATGCCATTCCACCTATAATGGGAGTTCTCTGTTCTCCTGTTTTTTTTTTAAACTTTATTTGGGGCGCACCTGGGTGGCTCAGTCGGTTAAGCGACTGACTTCAGCTGAGGTCATTATCTCCTGGTTTGTGGGTTTGAGCCCTGTGTTGGGCTCTGTGCTGACAGCCAGCTGAGAGCCTGGAGGCTGTTTCAGATTCTGTGTCTCCCTCTCTCTCTGACCCTCCCCTGCTCATGCTGTCCCTCTCTCTCTCTCCCCCCTCCCTCGTCAGAAATAAATAAAACATTAAAAAAAACTTAAAAAAAACCTTTCTTTGGAGATAATTTCAGTCTCACAGGGAAGTTTCATGAATAACATTTTTTTTTTTTTTTTTATTTTTGAGAGAGTGAGCAGGGAAGGGGCAGAGAGAGAGGGAGAGACAGAATCTGAAGCAGGCTCCAGGCTCTGAGTTGTCAGCACAGAGCCCAATGCGGGACTCGAACTCATGAACTGCAAGATCATGACCTGAGTCATGATGCTCAACCGACTGACCCACCCAGGCGCTCTAAGAATAATATTTTTTAAACTCCAGCATACGTTTTACCTAGATTAATCAGCTTTAACACTTCGCCACATTGGCTTTTTCTATCCCGACCCATTTGCAAGTAGATAGCATATATGGTGCCCCTTCCCTCTCAGCTCCTGCTAAGAACAAGGACATTCTTTACTGTGACCATGACATGGTTGCTAGATTGAAGCATCTCCTACAGTGTGACACTGTGGTGAGCAGCTCCTCTTCTGATCCCCATCACTTGTCCATAAGCTGTAGTTGGATGTAGAAACAGCTGTGGTCGGGATGGATGAAAGCCAGTGGTGGGAAGTATTTCCGATTGTGTGTGTGGTGGTCTCCAGGGCAGGCTCCTATTCGATGGGCTTCATCATTGTTTGTGCTGGGCTCCAGGGTCCAGCGTCCTGTATGTGGGGTCTTGTTCCCTTTCCACACCAACCCTGCGTGGCTGACATGACAGTCCCAGTTTAGAGCTGAGGAAGCTGAGATCTGGGGGTTAAGTAGTAATGTGCCCAGGGACCTTTCAGATATGAGGGACAGAGTCAGAACCTGATTTTTCCATCTCAGAGTTTGAGGACCTCTGCTGGCCTTCATGAGGGAGGCTGGGAGGCCGGGGTTATGGTGACCAAAGGACGCAGGCCATCGGCTCTGCCTGGTTGACAGGATGCCCCAGCCTCCCCTTCCAGGCTGCGGTGTGCACCCAATACCAGCTGAGCCCGCATGTGTCCTTGCAGGGAGCTACTTTGCCCGCGACGCAGCATATTCCCACCACTACAGCAAATCCGACACCAAGGCCCACACGATGTTCCTGGCCAGGGTGCTGGTCGGGGAGTTCGTCCGAGGCTGTGCCTCCTTCGTCCGCCCCCCTGCCAAGGAGGGCCACGGCAACGTCTTCTATGACAGCTGTGTGAACAGTATGTCCGACCCCTCCATCTTCGTGATCTTCGAGAAGCACCAGATCTACCCTGAGTACATCATCCAGTATGCCAGCTCCAGCAAGCCTGTGTCGGGGGCCTCCACCTTCTTCTCCTTAGCATCTTTCTTTGGCGGTCGGCAGTGAGCGTGCATTGATGCTTTTAGTGCCTTTAAGGCTTATTCTCCTTGGAGTAGCTATTTGGGAAAGTTTTCTCTCTCTCTCTCTCTTTTTTTTTTTTTAACAGAAAACCTTTTAATGAACTGTTCATTTAACATTGACTTCCTGATGAAGTTACGTTCTTAATCTCTTGCTGATGATAGGTTTTGGTTTTAAGCCACTTTTGGGCTCATTAGTAGACTGAAAGTGATTGTAGGTGGGCCTATTACTGCTTTTTAGTAGTGTGTTAAAATTTTATTATTTACACTCTGTTGACTCTGCGGCTGATGGGCACCAGGCACAGAGTTTCTAGATACTATTTTATGGATTGATTTTAAATTTCAGTTTCTGTGTCTGCAGTGAGTGATTTGGTTTTTTCAGGGTCTCTGTGGCATCTCATTTAATTTTTTTGTCAGAATGACACAGTAGTCATCAGTAAGGAGGTAGTCACCTGTGTCTGTTGCTCTGGCTCTGATCCAGGCAGCCAGGTCTTCTCCTGGGCTTCTGGCCTTGGAGCGGCCCTTATATCACATGGTTAGAGCAAGTGGCTACTGAGCATCACTCAGAGGAAGCACTTTGATCCTGGCAGGTGACATGGTCTTGCCAAGGACCCCCAGGCTCTGCCCACCAATGCCTGTCCCCACATCTCCTAAGCACACTGGACACTCTCCAGATGTGGGTTTTATGTCCCTGTGAGATTTGAATACCTATGCTGCAAACGTCACAACAGAGTATGGAAATAAAAAATAATTTATCTGAAGTGGGCAACTAGCAAAGCTCATTTTTCAGTGTCTGTTTATCGAGCACCTGCTGGGTACAGGCACTTTTCTGGGTGTCGGGATATAACAGAGTCCCTGGTACTGCCCTCGGGGGCTGTATGCAGTCTTACCCATGGGGCTGATGAACCTGAGGGTGCAGGGCCCCTCACTTGCTGGGGCTCTCTCCACAACTGTTGCAGGGGTGGGCCCTAAGTATGTGGCCACATGGTCATACATCTCTGTTAAATGTGTGAAAGTTACATATTTGTATTTTTTTCTTTACCCAACCCCTATAAATTCCAAGTTCCACAAAACCCAGATTTCATTACTGAGTAGTGTGTGTTGTAGATGTGTGTGAGGGTGCATTCTGTGAGTGTCTTCCACACACAGCACGTTACGGGAGTCTGCTGGGCACTGGCTGGCTCTGCTTTGGGGGTGGAGGGGCTGGCAGGGTGGCTTCGTGTTAGGGGGTGGCTGGACCTGTTGGTCCCTGGGTTTAGTCCTCAGCAGTGGGCTTCTCACCTCCCCTACACCCTTCCTGCCCATCCCCCCACCTTCTTAGTACAGTGTGTCCACTCCATGTGACACCTTCACTTCTTTTGCTTTGTCCTGAAGTTCTCAGTTTTTTCCATCTTGGGAACCTGGGGTAGGGTGTCCTCTGGACCCTTACGCAGGTCAGCCAATCAAGACAGAGAATACCTGAATTATATGACCAGACGAATGAAACAATAGTACTATCTTACCCACCCGCAGGGCTGGTCACTTGGTTGTACATGGTGTGATTTTTCAGAGCCCCCAAAATATTTTTCCCAAGTCCTGACTGTGAAATTTTTGCTTTTTGATTAAGTCATGGTCCTACTGCAGTGTAGGTGTGGGGGGCCAGAGAGGTGTCAGGGAGAACCATTAAATCAGGCGCTTGCCTGCTACATCTTAAATATAAGTGATCCCATGCTCATTAACCACCTGGGTGCTGGGAGCTGAGTGGTGGGCAGCAGGGATGGTCCATTGGGGAGTGTGAGTGGGAAGAATGGCTGGAAAAAGGTAGGTGGTGAGCATGTGTCCTAGAATTGGCAAGTGAGCTGTGAAGACTCATCAGCCCCAGAGGCCCTGGATTTGCTTATCTTTGAGAAAGCAAGCCAGAAAGAACACCTACTTGGATCAGAAACTTGAGAGAGGGATGGGGCCAGTCTCAACAGATTGTTGGGTTGGGGAGATAGGCACTATAATGGGAAAATGTCAAAATGATGGTAATTCTCTTGGTGCAAAGAGGTGGTGGGACCCAGGGTGTGTGTGACTGACTTGTCATGAGGATGTGGTTGGGATACAGCTAAAGGGGTTTGTGGAAGACCTAGGCAGCGCATTTCCTGCCCCGTTAGCTGGTGTTGTGTGTGAATGGTGGGATTTCAGGAGAGGTAGGGGTTGTGGGTTGAAACCACGGAAGGGCTGAGTCCAGCAATTCTAGAACATTAGGAAGCCTCACTGCTGTTTCTAAAGATGGTGAACATCTGGACAGAGAAGGTGCGGGAAGCCAATGGAGCTGATGGGCTGGGGTGCCGGACCAAGGCTGTGCCCTGAGGAGGGAGCCACGTGCTCAGCTGGGCCCTTCTGCAGGGTGAGGTTACGTCATGGCCATAGGGGGTCAGGGATTGAGAGATGGGCAGGGAAGTCAGGAAAGGCAGGTGAATCTCTAGGAATGGGAATGTATGGTTTTCTCCAGTGAGTCTCAGCCTCAGGGTCAGACACGTTGGAGGGGCTGGGCCCCAGAAAGCAATGGTGGCAGCAAGGGTGCAGAGAGGGTTGTGTGATGGGCTGGGACAGTGGTGGGCAGAGAGGCTGCCTTCCTGTCTCCTGGGAGGCCTGAACATGAGAAGAGGCCTCTCTAGGGAAGGACTCTGGGGAAAGAATGGGGTCCTCTGGGCTGGAGTGGGAGGAGACCAAACAGCAGAGGCAGGATCCACAGCTGTGGACATGTGGACACCTGTCGTGCCACCTGTCCTGAAATAGGGTAAAGGTGGCTAGCCTCTGGGTACCCATGCTTACAGATTTCTGCTCAGAATGTTACTTGGGCATTTAGCCCCTTCCCTGCTGCTCACCGGTTACACAGAGGAAGGAACTTTGATCTAGGTCAGCTCCCCGGTTTTACAGATAATGACACTGAGGCACAGGGGGGTGGAAAGACTAACAGTCATGACCCCATGCTGCTGGTGGCAGATGTGGGATTCACCTTGCAAGCTCTTTGTTGAATTTTAACTTCTCAGCAACATGACAGTTTTAATAAATTCACCTCAATATTTTACTCTTTGATCAAAATGAAGAGAAATTACACCGCCTAGTGCATTTTAGCAATTCTGTCACTCTTCTGTGCATTAAAACATTATAAAGTTAGTATTAGCCTACCTAGGAAAATCAAAGCAGAAGAAGCTTTTGAGCTACTTGCTGAAGCTGAACTTCCGATAAATATCATTTGTTAAGTCAGACACCATAATGCACCAGAAGCTGGAAAGGCCCATGAGCTGGTGCTGTTGGCAGCTCACCAGAGCATCCCTGTATCCTCTGCCCCGTGGATTCCTTCCATCCTGAGGCTAAGACTGCCTTCAAACCCCCGAGTTCCCAGCCATGTTGACAAAACTATATTTTTGCCTATTTATCAGCAATCCCTTAGTAAGAGGTGGGTCAGCAGTTCCTACACCATTAGCAAAGTCAAAACTGAGTGCAACAAACATTTATTAAGCATTTAAGAAAAGTTATGTAAAGACTTCTTTCATACTTGCATGGCGGGCACCCTTTGAATCACTTCAGTGATGTTTTCTCCCAAATCTGAATTTCCACATGAAGGTTTCTTTGAATTTGGGGGGGGGTGTCCTCATAAACTGTCAGCGAGAGACAATCTTGATGTAGACACCATTCTTTGGGCCTAGGGCAGATTTGGACTCTAGCTGCAGTGGTACCTAAAATAGAGGGGATTAAGATACTTGTTACAGCCAACCACGTCTACGGGAAAGGTTTTTGGAACTAGGCCTGAAGCGGGGTTATGGAAATGTGAGTGACAGCAAGGCTGAGGGAGCAGAACAGCCTCCCATCACCGCCTTGAGAAGCCAGCAAAGCTGCCACTCAGGGGAACTGGACACTGGGGCCCCACCAGCGCATGGGTGCTCAACCACCAGCACATGGTGCTTGTCCATGTTACCAAAATACTGCCAGTGAGGAGGGCACTCAGTCCCCCATTTATCCTCCCAAGAAACCTGTGTAAGAGGTACTGGTGGCTCACTTTGCAAAAGAAGAAATGGAAGTTCCGAGAGGCCAAGTGACTTGTGTAAGGTCACATGCCTGGAAAGTGAAGAGCAAAGCCTCAAACTCTCTCCCCTCTCCTATTCTCCCTCCCTGTAACACAGCAGTAACACAGCAGCACCCCCTCTTTCCAAGGGGCTTGGCTAGAGTGGCTTCATACCATTCCCTTCTCATGAGTGCTGTGGTCTAGCCTCACGGCCATTCAGAAAGCTTTCCTTATGTCTACGTTACAAGGCAGATTGATGGTGGACTGGGGAATTGGAAGAAAAGCCAAAGAATTACTCAGGAAGCAAGGTGTCCCCACAAGCCCTTTGTAAAATAATGGTTCAGCGGCTAATGTGAACCCTTTAAAGGAAAGAAGCCTCACTGGGCCTTAGTGCTGGGGCCTTGGTGGGCTTTTCAGATGTCTTTGGGGGTTTAGCTCCGATGGGAGAGAAGTTCTATGACCAAGAAACAAGATGGACTAAATTTGCACTACCCCACCAGTAGCACATGTGACTGCTGAGCACCAGAAATATGGTTAGTGCAAATGAAGGGCTAAATTTTTAATCTGATTATTAAAATTTAAATAGCCAGATGTGGCTAGCTGCTGCTGTATTAACACAGGTCTGTACAAAGTGGAAACACCACGGGACTTGCAAAGTCCGGGAGAGCTTCCTAGAGGAACACACCTTAGGTGGGGCTAGGAGTGGGAGAAGCCTTGTGGGCAGCACTTCTCAGGCCACTTCAGGATATGCCAGGGATTTGGAAGATGGGATTAGGCTGGGGACAGAGGAGTGGGAGAGATGGCAATCCAGATAGGGAGAAACAGGTAGAACTCTCTTGGGGTGGGAATTTGGGGCAGAGAATACAAAGTGGGCTCAGACAAGCTTTCCTTAGCACCAGTATGCTCGGGACTCACGGCTGGTTCTTCAGCTGGGGAATGCCAGCCATAAGCAGTGTTTTGGGATAACGGTCTGGCAGCTGTGCTGTTTGTCAAGATCAAGGGTAAATGAGACAAACCCCAAAAGGAAGTCCTGCACACATGGAACACCTACTTCAGGTTGGGGCCTGCTCTTGTCTCTGCTGGTTTGGCCCTGTGTTCCCAGTTTGCCCCTCTCTGTCCAGCCTTGAACCCAGTCTGCCTGTTTGTCAGAGGTAATGGATTCTACTCTTTGAATCTAGAAGTTATTCGTCACTGGGTACTCTTTATCTGTTCCCTTACACCCCCTGTCCAGCCATGCAAGAGGGGCTCTGAACAGGCATGGAGGGGCACAGCGTTCAGGTTTTGTAGGCACCAGCAAACATGGCAGAGAGGCGGCTCCATGTAGAGGAAGGAGGGAGGCTTGGGGGCGAGTCCGATCTGGTGTAAGCCCCTTTCTTCACTCTCTGGCTAGTCATTCATTCGCTCGTTAATATTTGTTCAGCGGAGCCCAGAGCACGTGCCCTGCACCTGGTGCTGGAGGCTGCAGCAATGAATCAGTCAGACTTCCGGTTCCTGCCCTCACAGCCTGTGGTCCAGGTATGCGGCC